GATTAAAGAATCTTCTGAATATTCTCAGGATCATTGCCTTGCTCATCTTTTACATATAACTGCATGGCTTAACATTGTCATGTTTCCTAGCTCATCACCTTTCCCTCTCTTGATTAGTTAGTCCTTGAGATCCTGCTTTCCCTTTCCTTGTATTATCCAACTTACTTGTTATGAAATATTTGCTAGTATTTGCAAGCTTACAGCCTACTATTACAGGAATTAGTATCAAGTCCCACCTATATTAGAATTTTTAGTACCCCTCTGATTCTGAGTTCCAGTGGGCTGTGTTTTATTAAAGACAGAAAGCTTGATGACTGTTTTTAAAAGTATCACTTTTTTTCCAAACAATATCTTTTCTAGCAATCAAATCACTAAAAGTAAAAGAAAAAGAAGTTGGATATAGCTCCAGTCCACCTTGTGGTGACCTCTTCTCAACTTCTGATCACTTGGATAGGGGTAGGGCCTACAGCTACCTGTTCTTGCCCGAGGGCTCCCTATGACAGCTGAAACACCCAGCACAGCCCAGAAAAGCTCGCTGCACAGAGTGGTCCCCTTGGCTTGCTTCCCACTGTACCTTCGGACCTACCATCTCCTCTCTGAAGCCTTTGCTGGGTCTTTCTTTTCTTCATATGGAGTCTTTTGCCAGAGTGGTGGTCTCAAGCTCCCCAGCTCGAGGGACCTTCTTGCCTCAGCCTCCAGAGCGCTGGCATCACAGGTGCAGGTCGCTGTGCCTGACTTTTTCTTCTGGACTCTCCCCTGAATTGAACTGGGAATGGAACCCTGCAGTGTCTCGCGGGGCTTCCTGTGGCAGGGCTCAGCCTGCTAGAGGTCACTTGGGTCTCGAGAGGCACTGGGTGCTGGAGTGTGTCCCTCCTGCTCTCCTGGGAACATGGACAGAACTGACCCATGCACCTGGGACTTTCCAGGTCCCCGTGCACTCCTCTGTTGTCCCCATCAGCATATGCTCATAGCCACCCCAGCTGTCTGCTGATGCTGTGCTCAGACCTCAGCTGTGCTTAAGTGAGGTCTTCCAGACAGCCTGCTAGATGTTCTGTTTTAAGAGTCGTATGTTGTTCCTTCTGTGTACCAAGGCATTGCTCTAGTCAGCTGACTTCTTCACATTGCTTGGTGAGCTCCATGCCCAGACTCAGGAGAGCACTGACAAAAGAGCAGTCCTGTGCGTGTGCGCATGTTTTCCTGTGTATGCACGCATGTGCCTGTGCCTGTCCCACAAAGTATGCAAAAGCCAAGTAAGCCACCTGGTGAACTTAAAGGGTGAACCCACTCTGAAGTTCCTGGAGAGCAGTGTGAGGATATGGAGATACTTTGGGGATGGCTGTGCCCAAGGCTGCTAGACGGAACCCTTGCCATCTGTCCTGACCAGTCCATGGGGAGGAAGCAACTCAGGGGAGTGGACCCTGGGGCACCCGTGTGGGTGGAGAGAGGTGGGGGCCCCCTAAGCCTGTGGGCTGCCGAGCCTTCTGGTCATTGGCCGTACCTGTGCAGCTCACTGAGATGCTGTGTTTGCGCAGACCCATGCCTCTACATCCCACGCTTCGCCCACCTGTTGGAGTTTGGCGAGAAGAACCACGAGGTATCTATGACAGCCCTGAGGCTGCTGCAGCGTATGAAGAGAGACTGGATGCACACAGGCCGGCGGCCCTCAGGCCTCTGTGGAGCAGGTGCGGTAGGAGACCCAGGCCTCACAGTCCGTCTGGGGGCACTGGCCACTGTGGTGACGTTTTGTGGCATGATCTTTGTGTGTGCACATGTTGCTGAGAATAGAATCCAGATGTCACGTGTGCTAGGCATACATTATACCACTGAGTTGCATCCCAGCACTCACCCTTGAATTTGAGCAGCCAGACTTGTTGGCATGAATTGTATCCTGGAGTAGGGCTGTCTGTAGAGCTGGCTTCTGTGCCCAGGACTACCCCAGCCTACAGGGTCTTCAGCCCTGCTTTAACCTGATCCTGCTGAGATACAGGACAAGCTTTCAAAAAACAAAGGTTGGCAAGTGCTCTGACCTTGACCTCAGGCAGTCAGTGCTTGGGAAGTTGTGCACTCAGCCTAGTTAAGGGTGGCTGCTTTCATGAGATAGCAGGTCCTTGCTGCAGAAGGTGCTCCCTGATGCTGGCAGGGTTGTTACCGTGCTGTACATGGCTTTGTGCTTAGCTCTTGGTACTAGTCATGGTCTTGCTGAGCATGGCTGGACCCTGCCCTGCCCAGGGTGAGCCCCAGCCTGGCAGGGCCCTGGCCTCTGCTAGCACCGTTTCCACCCCTGCTGGAGTGGTAGGTGTTAATACTCCAGGCACTTGGCCTCCTCTCCCCGTTGTAGCCTTGGTTTTAGTACATGACAGAAATCACACCCTTGTTCTTCCCAGCTCCTGTCATACTCAGTGTTTTCCACAGGACTCATGCTGAAGTTAATGTATGTGTTTCGAGGGCTTGTATGAAGTCAGAGTTTTATTTTATTCATTTAATTTTATTTTTTGGTCTTTTTAAATGTATTTGGTACAGGGTTTCACTATGCAGCTCAGACTCATAGTGAGCCTCCTATTTCAGCCTCCCCAGTGCTATGATTAGTATTGCACCTCCACACCCAGTCTCGGTGGCCAGCTTGGTGTGCTCGGGGGCTGGGTCAGGGCTGGCATGGCCTTTCATGCCTGGGATCGAACCCCAGTCCTTGCACTTGCCTAAGAAGGTGCTTAGCCCTAATTTTTGGTCTTTTTAAGACAGGGTCTCACTGTGCATTTCAGGTTGGCCTTGAATTCTCTTGGTAGCCCAGGCTGGTCTCAAACTCATAGCAATCCTCCTGCCTCAGCCCTGGGCATGAGGGCATACCTGTAATCCCAGCACTTGGGAGGATGAGGCTGGAGGATCGCTGCAAGTTCGACACCAGCCTGGACTACCAAGTGGGTTCAAGGCTATCCTGAACTACATAATGAGACCCTGTCTCAAAAAGAACCCCCCCCCAAAAAAAAAAAAAAATCCCCAAGTGCTGGGATTATAGTTATGTGCCACCATACTTGGCTATTTCTGCTTTAATTCTTATACTTAAAAGTGAGAAGTGGTGGGGCCCGGGAGATGGCTCAGTGGAATAAGCGCTTCCCTGGCAAACGCAAGGGCCTGAGTTCAATCCCTGGTTCCACTACAAAAAAAAAAAAAAAAGTGAGAAGTGCCTCGACCATGCATGCCCCAGTGGAAGCAGGGCATATTACTGCCCTGTAGCATCTTCACAGTTTATCTGTGTGAGGAAGGTGGGCTCCACCTGCTCCCTTGCTCTCCTGGTGCAGGTGTACGCTGCCTGGCACAGATGTGTCATGCCCACTGTTGGTGACATGTCCAGGGCTGCTGCAGACTGTTTCCTTAATCACAGCCAAGGCTGTGCTCTGAGGACCTTGTTGTTTCCCAGCCCTTCTGGTTGCAGCCAGGATGCATGATTTCCGGAGAACTGTCAAAGAAGTCATCAGCGTGGTCAAAGTATGCGAATCCACACTGCGGAAGAGGTGGGTGCTCCAGGTCATGGTAAGGTGCTCACAGACAAGACTGCTCTGAGCCACCCCTACCCTCCCTTCCTGACCCAGTTCCTGCTGGGTTGAATCGTGTGAGCAAAGTCTATAGAGGTGTCTGACCTGTCTGCCCAGGCCCTTTGTCCTCTGGGTGATATGGCCTATCCTCTACTTGCCCCAAGTAACCTATCTCCTCACATGAGGGCCACCCTGCATGTATACCTAGGGCACAGCTAGGCGTGGCCATTGCCATGCTGACAGGTAACTTACAGCCCATCAGGGTGACCATAGTGGCCATGTGTGTGGATTTTCTCACAGAACAGTAGCTGTTATCGTGCCTCTCACAAGCATCAGGCACTGCTGGCTGTGCTTCAGTTGAAGGCAACTTATGCTAGTTTCCAGAGGCTGGTAGAGTTATTTCACTTTGAATATTTGATTTTTAGTTGTTGTTAAAAACTTCTCCAGTCAGGCACAGTGGCATATGCCTTTAATCCCATCACTCAGGAGGTAGAGGCGGAGGCAGAAGAATCACCATGAGTTCAAGGGCAGCCCAGGCTATATAGTGAGTTCAAGGCCACCCTGAACTAACAGCAAGACCCTGTCAAAAAACAAACAAACAAAAAAAAAAAACATACAAAAACAAACTTCTCCGTGAAGCTTTTTTTTTTTTGGTGGAACCAGGGATTAAACTCAGGCCCTTGCGCTTGTCAGGGAAGCGCTTATTCTGCTGAGCCACCTCCCTGGCCCCTCCATGAAGCATTTTGAAGATGGTTCAGGACATCTCAGACTCAAGCACAAACCAGTCAGGGGGTGCAGACTCCCCACCCCTAGCCTGTGTGTGCGACTGCCTTGGTGGGGCCTGTGGGGATTCTCATATGCAGGCAGCCACGTCTCTCCTGTACAGACTCACAGAATTCGAAGACACCCCCACCAGTCAGCTGACCATCGATGAGTTCATGAAGATCGACCTGGAGGAGGAGTGCGACCCCCCCTCTTACACAGCTGGGCAGAAGAAGCTGCGGATGAAGCAGGTAGGCCCAGTTTTGGGGTACTGCCTTGACTGCCTCAGGTGAGGTGGAGGCCTGTCTGTGCCTTTGGACTCCCCTCTGCCTTGTGTAGAGGCCCCCAGCACTAGGCACCTGGGGCTGCCCTCCATCACCACCCCCTAGCCTTGCACTGAGTGTGGTTTGCTCTACACAGCAAGAGTGCAGAGTGGGCCAGCCAGTAAGACATGCTTTGGAATGCCACCAAAGTCTGAGTAAGGAAGAGTGCTCCTCTACTGAGGCAGCGTAGCCACATCTCATCTCCCTCATCATCTTGTCATTGGTGCTGTGTTTCCCACTCACAGCCAGGTGTGCACTCAGCATAGGTAGCAGCGGAAGTACAGGGCCTACCCTGGCTGGGTTGGCACAGCGAAGCAAGGCGTCAGGCTTAGGACTTTCATCTCTGAGTGTCCCCTCTTCTCTTTCAGCTTGAACAGGTCCTGTCAAAACAACTGGAGGAAGTTGAAGGTAATTGATTGCCTTTTCACACAGCTGCTTCAGTTCTGTTACAAAGTTTGCTTTGCACTTTGTTATTTTTTTGCCTGTGAGATTTTTTTGGTGTTTTTGTTTGTTTTATCTTTTTTTTTTTTTTTTTTGCAGAACCGGGGATTGAACTCAGGCCTTTGCACTTGCCAGAGAAGCACTTATTCCACTGAGCCGTCTCCCCAGCCCCTGTTTTATCTTTTTTTTTTTTAATTTTATTTATTTATGTGGGGGGGGGGCAGCTCAGCCCACCAGGGGGCGGGGCGGGCTGGCATGTGGTGCTGGGGGATTGAACCGCGGTCCCTTTGTTTTTGCTAAGCTTGTTCTAAGTAGGTGCTTTAGAGCACTGAGCCATCTCACCAGCCCCTGTTTTATCTTTTTGAGACAAGGTTTCACTATGAAGTTCAGTCTGGCCTTGAGTTCACTTTGTAGCCCAAGCTGAGCCTTGAGCTCATGTCAGTCCTCCTGCCTCAGCCTCCTGAGTGGTGAAATTACAGGTGTGCACCACCACATCTGACCTTATTTTCTGTTTTTTACTGATTTTTTTTTTTCCAGGTGAAATATCCAGTTACCAGGATGCCATTGAGATCGAACTGGAGAATAGCCGGCCAAAGGCCAGGAGAGCCCTTGTCAACCTGTCCAAAGATGGTAAGTTCTGCCTGGCCTCATGGCCCTTGTGCCGTCTAGCCTGATGCCCCTTGGATCTCCCCAGCTATTGACCCTTGACCCCACCCCTCCTGTGACCCCTTCCATTCTTTTTTTTTTTTTCTTCTTTTTCTTTTTGGCAGAACCAGGGATTGAACTCAGGCCCTTGTGCTTGTCAGGGAAGCACTTATTCCACTGAACCATCTCCCCGGCCCCCCTTCCACTGTTTCTCACCCCAGGCTGCTGGTCACTTCATGGTGGTGGGCGCATCTTGTGTTGAGCATCCAGCTGCTCCTATGTACTTGTCAACACCCTCATGGTCCCTGCTTCCAGCTACATCCCTGGCCTCTCCAGCCCAGCCTCCTGTTAGAGGTCTTGGTTGCCCTTCCATGCCCTCAGGGTCAGTGTTCTCACTCCTGCCTCAGGTAACACCTGCTGGAGAGACTCAGTCCTGATCTGGGGTCCTGTGGGTGCGAGACTGGGTCCCACAGCCTTCTTCCCTCCCTGCTCCCCTTCACTGTCTCAAGCTGCATTTACACTATGGGCACTGACTGTGGGGCTCAGCCTATCCTGGGACCTTTTGGAAGTGCTGCAGTGCCCATGTGCTAGGCAGAGTTCTCTTCTGGGCTATGTGAAAAGGAAGGGGTCCTGCTGCTGTCCTTTGTGCTGTGGTTCATGCCCATCGGCTCAGCACAGTGGGCTGCGTAGCATGCTGTTTCTGCCCAAGCTTTGGGTTTAGGATGTGAGTAGGGCTAGCAGTGACCAGGGCTTTCCCTGTCTGGCTTCCTCCTCCTGCAAGCAGGCACCCTTCCCCACTGGACCCTCAGCTTGACGTCCCAGAGCCCTGTGGACAGCCCATCCATCACCCAAGCCTGCTGCCTTCCCTAAGGCCACAAGTTTGCATTTGTTTCCGTGTTTTCTCCACTGCCTGGTGCTTGCAAACGATGGTCATTTCTCTGTGTTGATTTTGTGCTCTTACGTTAGGAGCTCTGTGGTCATTTTTAGTTGTTCTCATTTATGATTAGGTTTTCTGAGCATCCTTTATTTCTGTCTGGAGTCTGGTTACTGACTGGCCCTGCAGCACCTCACTGAACCTCAGGAGTGGCCACAGCCATGTCCTCAGCCCAGCTCCTGGGAACTGGATATATGCTGGGGGGTAGGGCTAATGCTGCTTCTCTGTCCTGGTGAGGAAATGCCCACCATGTGTTTCCACTGAGTGTCCTAGGTGTCCTCAGGGTCAGTGGAGACATGAAGCTTTCTCTGCAATGAATGAATGTCACCTTGACAGTTCCCCTTCAGGCCTGCCTTCGTTCTCGGGAGGCACTGCCAGGCTGCAGGGATCATCCTGGTGGTGCCTGTCTGAGGTTCCCATCATATGGGATTTTATGATACTTCTTTTTGTTCTGGATATTCTTTTTTACAGTTTTCAGTTTTACACAGTTTTGTTTTCTGATTTTTTCCCCTAGCTAGGTTGATTTGCCATTCAACGACCATTTACATTTATCCCTATATTTATCCAACGACCATTCACATTTATCCCTAAGCCGTCCTGCCCTCCGGGGAGCTGTGTCCTTACCCCCAGTCATTGCTCCCTACTTGCCTGCCCTCCACAGCAATGCTTCCCTCCAGAGGGTTTTGTCCTCCTCAAAATGTGAAATTGTTTCCAGTCTCAGGCTTTTTCTGCAATGTGAAGGAAATTGACAGTCCTGGAGACAGTGTCTTTTGATTTGGTCATTATCTTTTCTTTTCCCCTCCCCTCCTCTCCCTTTCCTTTTCCCTCCATCCCTCCCTCCCCCTTTTCTTTTTGGGGTAGGGTCTTACTTCATAGTTCAGACTGGCCTTAAAGTCACTCTGTAGCCCATGCTGATCTCCAACTTGCAGTGATCCTCTTGCCTCAGCCTCCCTAGTGCTCTTCAGACACTGGTGTTAGCTTCCACTTTGCTGTGAATGTGACCAGGGTATGCTGTTTCTTTGTTCCTCCTCCCTGTGTTTCCAGCTACGTCAGGGCCTGTGGGTACCAGGGATGAAGCACTCTGCATCCTGGGTGGGCAGGTGGGCAGGCTAGGTCTGTGTGGCTTTCACTGTCCCTGCACATTGCTCAGGTCTGCATTAGGTTGCTGTCCTTCAGGCCTCTGGTCTTCACTGTCTTCCACCCAGTTACCTTGCATGAAGTGGTAGCTGGTGGATAATGTCCAGTGGCCAGTGCCCTTTTTTTAGTACTCATGAAGTATCACTGACTGTCCCCCCAGACCTGCTGGCCTGTCTGTTAGGGTCAATACAGACCCATGCTCCACTATATCTCTCCTGTCTCTCTGACATGCTGCCTGCTAGGGACCTATCTTACACGACAGACATCTGGCTTGGCTGTCTGCTCCAGTCTGAAGAGCTTTTTACTTTAATAGCTGATGGAAACTTATTTACTGAGTGGTATCTTTGCGTGGAGTTCTAGAAGCCATAGTCTGGAGTCTCTGTTAGAGGTTTCATTCATGTAATTTCATTCCATTGTCTTGGGGCACTACTTATCTCTTCAGTCCTGCCCCAGTCATGACAGATGAGGTGTGTCTCTCCTTCTCCTTCCTGCTGCTGTCAGGCTGCTCTGTCTGCTGCCAGAGGGAGTCGTGGGTGCAGCGCTCTGGCTCAGATGGGGCAGGCTGAGGTTCTGTGGGGAGGGGGCTGCTGCAGGGTGGAGGAGGTAAGCTTGGCGAGTATCTTGCCAGCATGAAAAGGCCTGTCGCGGGTCGTAGGCCAGCTTCTCTTAGGGGACGCTCTTGGCACACACAGTGCTGCACTTAGCAGCTAAAATAGAGTGGAGTCTTTTCTTTTTAATTTATGTATTTGGTACAGGGTCTCACTATGCCAGCACGGCATGCAGTACCACGGATCTAACCCAGGTCCTTGTACTTGCCAGGCAGGTACTTAGACTGATGCGCTATCTCCCCAACCTGAGTGAAGTGTTTCCAAGTGTGTCTTTCAAGTAAGTTTAGCATCCAGTGATTTTTAAGGCATTTTGAAAGATGATTAACACACGATAAACTGTACTTATTTAAAGTGAGCCCTTTAGTTTTTGGGTTTTGGTGAATACTTATACTTTGAAGCCAGCATCATGTCAGGCCACTGCTAGACCTGTCACTGCCCAGAGTCCTCATGCCCTTTGCAGTGTGCCCCCACCTGGCCCCAGGTTGCTCGTGGTGCTTTCTGTCCCTAAAGTAGTAGTTTGTAGGCTTCAGTGCAAAAGCCTTTTATATACATAGCTTGCACTTCTATCCTCTGGCTCTTGAGTCGCCTGTGAACCATTTATGGCTTTTTATTGTGGGTGTGACAGACCATGAATGTAGTGAGGTTGCTTCTCATTTGTCTATTGAAGGGTATTTGAATTACTTCTTGTTTTGGGTCCTACAGATACCCTGAACACTTACATGCAATCCGTAAACATTGATTTCTTTTGTCTTGAGCAAGGAGCAGAATTGTGGAGTCTTATGGAAAGTGGTACTCGGTTCTCTAAGGACCCAGCAAGTTTCCAGAACTGCCAGTGTTGCCTTCCCTTGGGAGCTCCTGAGGGCCCACATCCTCCCACTCAGTCTGATGTGCAGATCCTCTGGGGCCATTGGCGGTGCCTGGTGTGACCTGGCTAACCTGGGTTTCTCTGGAACTGCCCCAGGAGTGCTGTCTCATGGTAGTGCATTTCTCCTTGGAGTTGGGGTACATCATGTGTTCTGCATCCCCCTTTACTAGAATGTGACTCCCAGAAAAACCTGTCTCTTCTTGTTGTCATGACAATGTCATTCAGAGGGCAGAGGTATTTAATTCTTCCAAAATCCATTTAACTAGTATCTTACGGATCCTGCTCCTGGTGTCACACCTAAGCCATCTATGTCAAGTCTCAAATCTCAAACACTTTTGCTTTTCCTTACAGTGTATGTACTGTTAGCCCTCAGGCCTGAGTGCATTTGGGGTGGCTTCTATATGCAGCATGTGGTTTGGCCAGGTCATTCTTGCTCACAAAGGCCCAGTGCTGCTGGTGATAGGACCACACTTTCTGTGTTGCATCAAAGACATGCTTTTTGCTGTTGCTTTTTATCTTGATTGTTTTTGCAAAAATGTTTGTCACAGAAGGGGCTGTCAGACTCCAGTCCATTGACAGGTGGTTTGTGAATTGTGTCTCTAGGCTCTGTTGAGGATACTACATCCAGCCTCTATGGTGAGGAGGACGCTGAGGATGAGGAGTTGGAGGCAGCCGCCAGCCACATGAACAAGGACTTTTACCAGGAGCTTCTGGGTGGAGGCAGCAGCAGCTCGGATGCAATAGAGATCCCAGAGGAGGGTGGCCAGCCCTTGGCTCTGGAGTCCCTGCTTGGCCCTATGCCCACAGCAGCCAGCTTAGGCATCTCAGACTCTATCCGTGAATGTATCTCATCCCCAAGTGGGGACCCCAGTGAGTGCTTGTGGGACGGGAACAGGAGATATTTCCCATCTGTCTGGTCTCTTTCATGGAGTGACCCAGAAGCTACCATGGTCTTCTGAGAGAACAGTGTCCTGGAAAGGTGGGCTGGAAGCCCCTATGACCTTCCCACACAGCCTGTGTGAGGAGCAGAGAGCCAGCACATGCCTACTCCCCTTTGTGTACAGCCTCCCTCCTGCATTGCCAGGGCCCTGTGCTGGAACCTGAGCTGGCGCAGCAGCAACAACCTGGAGGAGGTGTGAAGTCTCTAGGAGACAGTCGCCAGTGCCCTTGCTCCCTCCCTTGTTGTTGTGGCCAAGAGCTTGCCCTCATGGCCCATCCCTGCCCACTGTCAAGGACATTGCTTGCTGCACTAGAGCATTTCAGTGATGAGCCTTCAAGCAGGGGCAGTTGCCCTGCCATGCAGTGCTGGGTCCTTGCTACTCCTTTCCTGTTCCATGCTTTAAAATATCAGACCAGCTTTAAGGAGGGGCCAGAGATTAGGCATTGGAGCAGAGGTGGTCAGTCCCTTCTCCATTCTCCACAAGGACAGGCTCCCCCTCTGTGTGTCTCCTGGGGCCCCATGTGACATGCCAGTCAGTCACAGCCCCCAGGACATTGTATACCTGTCTGGATGTCAGGGCTCTGAGAGAGCACTGGACAGAGGCAGCTGGGCACAGTGATCCCAGAGCAGGAAGAGACTGCTCCAGCAGGGCTAAGAAAGCACAGGGAGCATGGCAACCACAGAGAGCCCCAGGCCTTGCTGTGAAGGCTGATACGCAAGGGTATCCCAGGTGGGCTCACTGAGGAGCCTCACAAGGGCAGCCTCATCTCTTGTGGTGCAGACTTCAGCCTTGACCATGGTGGGTCCAGAAGGCAGGAGGTTTCCTGAAGCTGGACCTGGAGCTCACCCTCATGCCTGCCGTGCAGGCCCGCTTTGTCTCCCTGTGGAAGCTCATGCCCCATCTTGTCCCATGGAGGGGGTTGGGGCTTTCTCAGCACCTGCAGCCTGCCTTCTCACGTAGCCTGGCTGTCCCCCCAGCGTGGACATGTTCTGTGGGTGGGATGAGGTTGCAGGCTTCTGGCAGCCCCTTGGAATGGGGTGAGGCCGGCTGACCCAGGCCACGTTTGTACTCCTGTGATGAGGCTACTCCTGAGTGACACTGATGTGCTGCTTCCCTCTAGAAGACCCCTCCGGGGATGGTGAGCTGGATCTCAGCGGCATCGATGACCTAGAAATCGACAGAGTAAGCACGGCCTCTCACTTCAGAAGTCAGGTTGTGGGGAGAGCGTCTCCCAGCCCAAGGCTTGTTGCTGCCTTTGGCCTCTCAGGACCCTGTGGCTGGAAAGGGAAAAGAATAATAGGTTTCCACATTCAGTGGAGGCCTATTAATATTTCTCTTTCCTTTAATGATTTAAATGTAAGGCCAGGGGCTGGCGAGATAGCTCAGCGGACTAAAGTACCTGCTTAGGCAAACTTAGGGAAGTGCAGGGACTGTGGTTTGAGTGCCAGCACACATCACCCCAGCCCCCCTCCCTAGGGTGGGCTGAGCCAGCCAGAGTCCAGAAGTAATGGTGCACACCTGTAATCCCAGTGCTGGAGAGGCTAAGAGCAGGAAGATCACCATGAGTCCGAGCTGTGCAGTGAGACTCTGTAATAACCAAATACATTTAAAAATGTTAAGAATTTTTTAAATCAAATATACGTGTGTGTGTGTGTATATATATAATAAATAATAATAAAAAGAAAGTACATTTGTTGGTGGGAGATCTTAGTGTGCATTTAGAGCAGAAGCCCCAAGCTAAAGCCCTTCCCTGTACCCACACAGTACATCCTGAATGAGGCGGAAGCCCGGGTGAAGGCAGAGCTGTGGATGAGAGAGAATGCTGAGTACCTTCGAGAACAAAGAGGTAGGTGCCCCTTGTCCACTTGCCTGCCTGGTGGTGGGCTCTTGCTGACACAGCCCACTTTGACTTGTAGAGAAAGAAGCAAGAATAGCGAAGGAGAAAGAGCTGGGCATCTATAAGGAGCACAAGGTAGGTGCCTCCAACATGCCCAGGGTCCAGCTGCCCCCTGTAGTACCTGCAGGTGGGAGGGAATGTTTCTGTGGACTGTCCCTTCCCAGGGATCCCAGACTGGGCCAGGTCGGCATTAGGGGCTTATGTGCTCCAGACCCCATGCTGTGTCATTGGCTACCAGGTGGCCCTGATTTGGCCTCATCCACTGCATACACTCCGTCAGCAGTGGACCTGCACCCCTAGTTGGGGTGAGTCCCCAGCATGGGTGTTGGAGCCTCAGAGCTAAACAGAGATTCCTGGCCTTAAACTCCCGTGGGGAATGTGGTGGATCTCGTGTTTGTCCTTTTCTGTGGTGACCTGGAAAATCTGTGCTCTCCCTGCTCCACCAGCCATCATGGTGACTGACACACCTGCGCACTCCAGAACCCAAAGCCCAGGACACCCTCTGCCCCGTAGTTGTGCCACACCCTAAAACGTGCTGGGCACCCTCTTTTCTTCTTGATGGGCAGCTGTGCCCAGGCGTCAGTGTCTGGGAAATGCAGTGGGAGGTGGCATAACTGGGTGTGCCTGGAGTGGCCTGAGGAGCCTCGCTGGCTCCACAGGTGCAGCTGCTGTGTGGGGACCAGTCACAGGTGCTGGTGGTGGCCCATAGAGGCCTCATGGGTGTGTCTTGCCCAAGCCCAAAAAGCCTTGCAGGCGCCGCGAGCCCATCCAGGCCAGCTCCGCCAGGGAGGCCATCGAGAAGATGCTGGAGCAGAAGAAAATCTCCAGCAAGATCAACTACAGCGTGCTGCGTGACCTCAACAGCAAGGGCGCGGGTGGCCCCCCGCGGGACGATGTGCGGCTCCCCGAGAAGGGCAGTGCCAGGAAGTTGTCATGGAGGAGAGTGGCGGCCAGCAGGAGCGGGGCTGACCCAGGGAGCAGTGTGGGGAAGAGGTACCGTCCTGTCCCTTGGGCTGGCTATCTGGGTCACGATGGAACCTCTGGAGCTGGGCTCAGCCTGTTGCACTGTGTGCTGGAACTGATGGGCTGTCTGTGCGCTGTGGACCACATCCTGATGCCCCTCACCCAGCAACATCAGGGTCTGCTCTGTCTGAGGTGGCCCCTGGGTGCCCAGTGGGATGGCCAGCCACAAGTCTGTGCCCTCTCCAAGCACCGTGCTTGCTCAGCTGGAGGGAGGTGAGAGCTGCCTGCAGCTGGCAGGTGGGTGAGGGTGGAAGTGGCAAGCAGCACCACAGCAGCACCTTCTGGAAGGGAGAGGGTTGGCCCTGCCCTGCAGTTTAGCCACTGGGCATCAGGTGGTGCCATGGCACTCCTGGTAGTGCTCTGTTCACTGACTAGTGCATCCCTCCCATGCAGCAGGTTGGACACAGCAAGCGCCCCTCTACCCAGATTCCTTGTGGGGTGCTCCCCACTGCTGTCAGATGGTGCTCCCTTGGACTCCACTCTAGAAGGAGAGACTTCTTAAGGTCTTCCTCTCCCTCTGAAGCTGGAGCTGACATCTTTCTGTGTGTCTGTTTCCATTTTGTTGTTTCCTTTTGTTGCTAGTGGCTTTTTCCACAATACCAAGCTAGTGGTCTGTGTCAGTTTGCTTTGTCTGGCCTTTGTGCAGCTTTTAGGATCAGTCATGTTCACAAAGCCCTTTTTTGTGTCCAATTATAAAGAAATCCACCATGACTTTCCTTCTAATAGCAATATGGTTTTATTTCTTATATTCTAAGTTTCTGATCCATCTGAAGTTTATTTTGTGTTTTTTTTTTGAGGTTTTGTTTTTCGAGACAAGAGTCTTCGCTATGTAGTTCAGGCTGGCCTTGAGTGGCAGTCCTCCTGCCTCAGCCTCCCAAGTGCTGGGATGATAGGCATGTATCATCACGCTCGGCTGTAGTTTATTTTCATATGAGGATGGGGTGAGATCACGTGGCTGTTGCAGTGGCTGGCCAGTGATGGCTGGCCTGTCTTTACAAAACCCCATCTTTGCTCTGGTACCGGCGGTTCCTGTGTACATGCATGCCATCACTGAGCTGCTAGTTGCTGCACTGTGCATGATGTGCTGCTTGGTGAGTCATGTGCTTATGAGGACATTCTTTGTGGTCTGTTCATTGTCTCTAAATAAAAAGCCAGGAGTGTAGCCAGGAGTTTTCTCCCACTAGCATTTTGCCTTGTTCAGCGGAGGTTACTGTTGTGCCTTCACCTTTGAGACACAGTGGGTAGCGTTAGCCTTTCTGTCCACTGTTTTCCCTGCCATGGTTTGAGCCCTTGTCCTTGGTGTTCTGAGTCCCAGGTGGCCATTGTCATTTTCCTGTCCAAGCACAGAAATTTCTTCAGTTGGCCTTCATCTTACCCATTTGCTCCTGGTACTGCTGTCCTTGGTTTCTCAATGGCCAGTCGGGTCATGACATCCCAAGGCATCACTTCCTTGTACATAGAGCAGACAGTGGCAGGGGTGGAGTTGGGAAGGTCCCAGGGCTGGGGGCCCACAAGATCCTTGCTGTCACTTGCTGTGCCCAGCAATGCCAGCTCCACATGTCAGCTATAGCCCAAGCGGTTGCAGGTCCACCCTGATGCCTGGCCAAGCCTGTCTGAGCCAAGAGAGTTCTACCTCATGTGGCAATTCTGACTAGCTGCATAGCAGCCCAGATGCACATGTGCTTGTGTCTTCCCTGAACGTCCTAAGCGGCCAGGACAGTTTGTGAAGATAGTCTCCTGAAAGAGGATACAGAGCCTCAGCACTTGTCCATAATCCTTTAGCCTAGACAAAGAGGGACCCCACATGCATGGGGCTCCTGCCCTTTTCCACTGGCCCCACTCCAGTGCTAGCCCCCTGTCAGAAGTTCCTAACTGAAAAAATAAATAAATACTGGGGCTGGGGAGATGGCTCAGAAGTTCCTAACCGGCTCCTGCACTAGGTCATTTGGGCCACCAGGTTTGGCCTGCTGAGGCCCTCTGGGCAGAATGACAGGCTTGGAAGGTTGATAGACAAGGGTGTAGGTCTGGCAGCCTGGGGGCCTCCCTGGAGGGTATCTGGGGCAGTCTCAGATGCAATGGCCCTCTCCTTGGGCACCCCCACTTGAGTCACTGCCATAGAGCAGGCAAAGCACCCCCACCCCACCCCTGTGCCCAAGTCCCCTCAGCTCCAGGACAGCAGGGCCCTGGGTGACCTGTGCAGCTGCATGGGACCTTGTACCCTCTGATGGAACAGGTATGTGAGTTAGGGAGTGAGGGTGCAGAATTGTGTCACTCTGTGGGCAGTAATGTTCAGTACCTGCTGCTGGAAGGGGCCCATGGCAGGCCCAGCAAACCCCTACCCACTCCCAGCCAGATGGCGCTCAGCCCGTGCCTGTGGTTGTCATCTGGGAAGAGGTCTGGGGGTGGCTGTTACCCTGGGTCAGGTATGTTTGTAGAACTCCACTGAGACATTTACTCTCAGGGCTGAAAGATTGACAGCTAGAGCTGGCAGTGGAAATGGTGGGGGGAGCTGGTAGCCCCAAGAAGCTAGGGTGATCCTGGCAGGACTCTACTCAGGTAAATCACATAAGCAACCTGACCAGGAAGCTCCTTGTGTTTAGGGGCTCTGTGGTGTACACCGTTTCTCCAAGGTTGATTCAGCGTATCAGCAGGCAGGGATGGCCTCAGACTTCAGCCACAGAGGTGAGCCTGAGCCCTTGTCTGCCACACAGCTGTGCCCCATAGTGGATGGCTCCACGCTCCAGCCTCCCCCACAGCATCCACTTGGCCCACTGGATAACACTGTGGCCATGGTGTGGGAACAAGCCTGCCCTCCCTCAAGTGGGTGGCCTTCTTTCCCTCTGAAGAGACTTATCCTGGACATTGCTGTCAAGCCATGTCTATCCTTGGGGTTAGAGGATGGAAGGCAGTCCCAGTGTAGGGCACTGGGAGGCCAGGTCGTGACGCATCTCTTTCTTCCTGCCCCCCTTGTTACGTAGGGGTTGGTGATGTGGGGAGAACTGAGCATGCACCATGTGGGTCCTGCCCATGACCCCTGTGTCCAGAAGCGTAGAGCAGAGTGGATTGCATTTGATCTTAGCCAGATGGCTGCGACGTGATCAGGCTGGACAGACTGTCCGTACCTCTCAGCCCTATGGCACCCATGGACTCCTCAAAAAGGGAGCCCTTGCTATGGCTTTTGCATCTTTCTGTCACTCACACATAATGGAAGCCAGTGGCAGATGTTGGTTAATGCAAGGTGCACAACGGAGTAGAGTTAGGATGGGCCTGGTTGGGCTCCTGGGGGCAGAAGCAAGGGAAACACCAGAACAAGCCAGGAGGGAAGAAGTGGGGCCCAGCATCAACAAGGACAGAAAGAGAGACATGAGGGAGGAGCCTTGCTGGACAGTGGGGTGGGCCCGTGACCTGGAGTCACCCAGAGACGTGTGCGAGGCCAGGGACGGTGCCTGCGGCCACCGGATGGAGTTGGTCCATGCCATGCAGTAGCAGGCCTGGCACTCTGAGCCCTAGCTGGAAGGCATTTAGCAGATAGATGAGGCTGAGACCACGCTGTGTTCTCTTTCAGGTTGAGGCCTCTGGTGTCTGCACAGCCAGCTAAGAAAGTAGCTGTAGGAGAGGTACGTTGCTTGGCACGCAAGCAGGGCCTGGGAAATTGTTCACCACTTCTCAGCATGTGTAGTCCCCAGCGCCCACGATTCAGGCAGCTGGGTTCCAGAAGCTGAGTGGGGAAGGGTGAGCGGGGGGCACTTGCTGCCTGGGGCTTGCCTGTGCTGGAGGTGCTGAGGCCTGGGGCCTGGATGTCTGGTGGTGCAGCCTTCTACACAATCCCAAGAGAGCAGTGGGCACAGAGCCAGACAGACCTCTGACCAGTCCAAATGTGGGGCAGGAGTGCTAAGGCCCGTTCAGGCCCAGCCTAGAGGGGTCAGGAGAGTGGCCTGTGTGGCACCTGTCCCACACTGGCCCTTTCCTTCCAGGCTGCGTTTCTTAACTCCCCTGCCCTGGGACCTGAACTGGCCAGGCCAGCAGCGGTGCTGGTAGAAAGTGGCCCTGTGTGCTACCACCCTGAGGAGGTGGCTGATGAAGATGACGTAGATGAGGATGACGGGGAGCCTTGCGTCAGCGCCCTGAAGATGCTGGGCAGCAATGGTAGGTGCACCCCATGCAGGTGGCAAGTGGGCAGGGGAGCTGGGTATGCATAGGAGAGGTGAAGGCATAGCCATGTGCCCTTGAGAAGCCTGAACTCTAGCTGTACACTTCTGACTAGATTTTTTTGGAAGGAAAGGAATTTGAACTCAGCTGGAACTATGCTGGCCATGGTAGGTATGAGTGAGAAGGAGCTGGCTGGGCTGAGCTGCCCACAGTGAGGGTTGCAAGCTCTGAGCTCACTAGTACATGGGGTCCCTTTCACATGGGCTTCATGAGGAGCCAGGGCCCTGTACTAGGCTCCTACAAATACTCAGTGACCAGGAGACCACAGTGGCAGTCCCTGCCGTGTGCAGCCTGGGTGGGTTCCCAGCATATTCATTCTCTGATTGTGCCTTCTAGCTTACGGCTGTGATGGCGATGAGGATGACGGCTACTAAGCGCAGCCTCAGACCAGCCGCACCCAGACTGGACCTGAGCATCTCATGGGGGCTGGCAGGACACCCAGGTGTGGACACCGAGACTTGAGATGAGCCTGCACCTCCTGCTTGCTTGGAAGCCACATGTGGCCACCATAGCACTTGACCATGGGACCGTGTTTCAGCAACGTGAGGAGCATTTCTACCCAGTAGGGGAAGCGGGACCAGCCCTGCGTCTTGGCAGGACATGGCCAGGGAGTGCCTGAGACTTAGTTCTACCGTGTGGCCCAGCTTACTGTTACTGGCCCAATGGAGAACTCCCAGAAGTAGGCACTGTCGTGTCCCCATTGTGAGGAAACAAACAGGACCATCTGGCCCAGCTTGCCAGCCCTGGGCTCCAGGACACTGCGCTTGGCCTGCATGCTTAGGGCTCTGGCCTCATGCAGGCTGAGGGCTCTGGCCTCATGCAGTGAGTATATGGGGGCAGCCAGCTGCTCCTACACTGGCTCACCACAGCTAGAGCTGATCCTCTGCCTTGAGCCTCCCTCCAGGTGGCATGAGCTCCCCACTACCTCTGGGACCCCCTCTAGCTGTTATGAATCTTGGGATCAGCTCAGGATAAAGCATCTGCACCTGGTACTGGTCCTGCCAGGTGGCCTTGAAGCCTCCTCTGCACCAGGCCAGTGGCAGGCTGTTCTGGGGCTCTGAGCTCTGCCTCTCTGGCTGTGGCCCAAGGTTAGGGAGAGCAGGGCTTCTACCTAATGAAGAGGTAAGGACACTGGCCTCCAAGTGGGCAGGCTGGGTGTCCTATGCCGCTCTCCCTTTGGGGCCAGACCCCAGTCAGTGCAGAAACAGCATGTTGGGGCATGAAGTCCCTAGGCTGCTTTTTGCCCACCTGTATCTGCAGCCAGCCTAGTTCAGAGTTGCTGTGTGCCAAGTGAATTGATGCAGAAAGACCTGTACAGAAAACTTGAGCAGAAATTTGCTGAAATGTCTGTGATTGTGTATCTGGCTCTGGCTGGCCTTCGACATGGCACATCTGACTCTGTGGTTCCCAGCTTTCCTTAGGCACGCTGGTGGGGCATGTGACTAGGAAAGTCTGCAGGACCACCCTCCCACAACGTCTCCATGGGGGTAGCCCCCTACCCAGGCTCAAGTACAGACCCAACTGTCTCAGGTTGGGATCTGGGTCTGCACTCTCCCAGTGTGCTCCACCTTCGCCTGGGAATGGAGAGAAGATGCTGGAAGCCCCAAGGCTTCCCTGGGGGGAGAAGTGTCTGGCCTTCAGGTCCCTAGGCCATCCCATGTAGCAGTTGCTGTGTGGGCATAGTGGGGTTGGGGATGGACAAGAATGAGCCAGGAAAGCATGTGCACGCAGGACCACTCTCCCAAGTCTGCACAGTTGAGAATACCTGGACACACCTGTGCAGCACGAGGGCCACTGAGGCTTATGTGTGGGTTAGGGCAGGTGCAGCAAGCTGTGCCCGTCCATGGGGAGTATAGGCCACTTGGGCCAGAGCAGAAATGACAGGGCGAGGCTGGAAAGGGCTGGTGTGGGATAGTTTTGGAGAAAGTTGGCCTTGGGAAAGGGGAGCATGGAAAACCAGAATTGGGCCCACCAAGCTTGAGCAGTGGAACACACAGAACAGTAAGGGGCATTCCAAATTTGGTTTTGCTGGCCTCTGCTAGACTGTGGGACCCCCAGGGGGAGGAGAGGTGGGAGGAAAGGAGATACCATCTCTTGCACCATAGGCAGCTGAGTCTCAGAGATGGGCCATGGCAGGAGAGGAGGGGCTGGGTTCATCTCCCTTAAAGGCAGAAGGTGTCTTTGTTGGAGGCTGTGTGGGTAAAAGGGAGGGCAGGGAAAGAGATGTCAGCATTCTGGGAAGAGGATAGGGTGATGGATAGGCTCCAGGCCTACACGGGTAAACTGAGGCTTGCCACCCCAAGGGGACAGCAGGAGGTGCTGTCATGCTGGTAATGGAAAGGTCAGAGCTGTGGAGGAGCCAAGCTGTCTGGGCCTCTCCTAGCACAAATGTGGAGCTAAGAGGGACGCTTGAGTCTGTGGACTCATCCCCAGGCAGTGTGGGAGCCACACCTGCATGCCCCTTTGTGACTTCTGGCTGGGCTGTCTTGTGTCTGCTCAGGGATGGGGCAAGATCTTAGAGGTGCCTCATCAGGGCCCTTTCTGGGAATTCCCAGAACTGGCTGCATGGGAGTCCCAGGGAGCAGGAGTAGAGGGAACCTTTTGGCCCTTGCCCTGTGGCCCTTTCTTTGCCCTCCTGTGGCCTGTTTCCCACCTGAGAGGTGGGGTGCCTGCTTGGAGGAGGTGCCAGCCACGAGTTTGAACAGCTGACTGAGCCATGGACCTGGTGCTTGGTGGCAAGTTGCCAGTGACTATAGGTATTGATAACTCACTTTTAGAGGTTCCCAGGGCAGCTTGGAGGAGCTGGATGTGGCACCAGGCCCAGAGCCTGATGCTGGCCAGGCTGTGGGACACTGCTCCAGCTTGCCCTTCATGTCATCTTCTGGACCAGCTGCTCTGCCTGGCTCTTTACTTGCAGGTGTTATAGTGAGGATACCCCTGGGAAAGGCAGGGGGCTCCTTGTCACACATAAGTCTCTGGGCTCCTTTGCTGTGTCTTTGTCTCCCAGTGACATCCCAACCTTCCCCTGAGTGCACAGGGCCACATGCCCCAAGCCTGCCCCACAATCAGGTCACCCAGCTGCATGGGTGGAGTGGGTCGATGTGGGCACCTATGGCCACCTGATGTTTCCTTGCCAGCCTGCCCAAGACAGCTGTCTCCAGGTAGCAGGAACCACACAGGGGCTTGCAAAGCAGGAAAGTCTGGGCCTCAGCAAGGGCACACTGCTTTGGGCATAGCATCCTTGCATGCTGGTGACATTAGAATGCAGCCTCTCCCTGACAGTGCCCTGGGGAAAGGCATGGTGGGGAGGGAGGTGAGAATGTCTGATCAGTATCCTTGGTGCTGCCTGCTCCATGGGTGTCCAGGCTTTACCTGATCTTCCTAGATCTTGGGCTGGATTTTAGGGGTGCAAGGTGGCAAGTGGATAGCAGCAGCTGGGCATATGGGTCATCCGGCCCGTCCACTCACCCTTGGAGGCTCACATGAAGCCAAATGCCTTTTCCTACTGACCAGAGCAACTGTGGGTCAGTGCTGTGTTCCAGCCATGGTAGAAGAGGGCTGCAGCCCTTCAGAGTAGGACCTGTGTGAGATGGTGGCCTCAGTGTCTCAGCATCTGTCTCAGGGCCTCTGAACTCCGGCCTAGTTGGGGCCTCCAATGTGGCCTCCGGTCCTGGGGAATGGTCTCTGGCAAACCCTATAGCATTCTATAGAACCCCACTTTTCTGTGCTGACCCCATGTGGACTCTGGCCACTGGGCCAACATGCTCCAAGCCAATCCCCATGCCCCCTGGCTGCTGGAGTGGAGGTCGCAGTGGGTGCTCTGGCCAGAGGGGTTTGGGCCAAAGCCGAGTCCATTCCCCCGAATGAGAAGGCCTCTGATGGCAAGTAGCAGGTCCAACACATTCTGGCATATGTGGTAGTGGGCTGGGTCTCTGGTGGCCCCCTCTGTGGTGCTGGGAGGGTGCCTGCTTTGTGTGGGTGTGGGGCTCATTGCTTTCCCTGGTCTAGATAAGTGGCAGTGATGCTGACTTGGGTTCTTCCTGTCTCCTGGTCTCACAAGTAAGGCTACAGAGGTCCCCTAGCCAGGAAGTGGGTCCCAGTGGTAGGGCCTGGCCAAAGACAGTAGGCTCTCTCATGGGCAGAGTGCTTGCTCCCTTGGGTAGGCAGGCAGGAGTTTGCATGTGAGCATATGTACCAGCAGGTACATGTGTGCTCAGGGAACACAGCCTGAGCCTCCTGCATGGCTCACCTCGCTGTTCAGGTCCTCTAGGCCTTCCTTGGTCCCCTTCCCTGCATGGCCCCAGCTAGGTATGACAGGAAGCCCTGCTCTTGCTCTGCTGCTCGTACACCATGTCTCCGTGTGCACACTCCTACTTAGCTCTTGACTGTCCATGACCTTGGAGCCCCCAGTAGTGCACCCCACTGTGGGATGGTCCCCATCGTGCCTCTGACCAGAAGATGGCTTTGATGGTTAGACCAGCTGAAGGACAGATGGCCCTTCTAGCTTCGGGCTCCATACTGTCCTTCCCCAAGACCAGGGACACTCACCTTATGGCCCTCCTCACCCCTTTAGTCATTACACTGCAGTGTCCTTGCTCCTTGGAGGATTCTGAGAGGGGCCTATGGTGACCCAGGAGGGGTTCCCAGGCTTGGCATGCTTGCTGAGTGCCTGTGCTATAAGCCTCTGCCCCTTTGTCTTGTGCTACGTGCCTGGAGTGCCTACTGATCCCGGGGGAGGCTTGGGCTGGGCCAGGCTGGCAAGGGTGGAGCCAAGGGTTGGCTCCATGGCTGTGGTGGTGCCTGCAGCCTGTCCAGGCCTTCAAAGGGGCTATGGGCGGTGGCAAAGTCAGGCCCTTTATGGTTTTCCTGCGGCAGAGGAACCTGGCTGGGGAAGCCATTGTCTCCAAACAATGGGTCTGGCTGAGACCCATGAAGTTGAGTGCCAGGGCCCCCAGACTGGTGGACCCAACCCTGAGCTTGGCTCAGTCCCCACCCCACCTCAGTCCTCAACCCTGATGGCTGGCCCTTAGTGATCCTCTTTTTGCAGGGCTCTCCCTTCTCACCAGGGAAGAGCCATGACAGGGTAGGCGCGCTCCCCAGGGCAGCTCCAGAGGGTCTTGGCACATGGGGCTCCTACACACATCCAGCCCCACTGCTCCCACAGAGGCCTGCTGGGCAGAGATTCAGGCAAGAGGCCTGGACATATCTGGAGAGTGAGAGGTAGTGCCCACTCTCCCAGGTGATATGGGGAGACTGTTTCTTTGGTGGCCATGGGACCTTTGCAGCAGCTCAGCTGAGTAACTGTCTGTAGTTGATGGTGAACAGCAATGCCAGTCACCTGTCTTGGTGAGGCCTGGCCCCTGGACCATATCAAGGGGATGGCCACCATGACCTTTGCCCACAGCCTCAGCCTGGTGGATCTCAGCTGGCTTCTGTAGAGACCTCTCTGTGTGGGAGGGTATGGGTCAGACTTTGGTGGGTACAGGTGGGTGCAGGGCCTGAGGGTGGACAGGACAACATGTATTATTCATTGGGAAAGACCCAGAGGAAGACATTTCTGTGCTCCAGGGTGGAGGGGCCAACACGGGCACCTGTGTAGCCTGGAGTGGGGCTGCTGACTTCAGCTGGCTGAACTGTCTTGATTCCTGACCAGCAGAAAGGTGCGGGCCCATTGCCATCACGGTTGTGCTCAGTGTGCTCTCCAGTGACACTAGTGGAGCGTGTTGCCTAGCTGTGCCATTTCTAGAAGCAGGGGAAAGATGGGTGCAGCTGGATGCTTCACTCCTTTCCCTTGAGCAGCACACACAACATGTGCACGTGCACAGCAGTGACCCTGGGGATCGTGGAGACAGTGTTGGTTTCCACCCTTTGTGGTCCCTGGCCTGGCAGGATGGGGTGAGCTGTCAGCCTCCATGGGCCATTCTGAGGTCTTACTACGTTCAACTACCTAACCTGGATGCCCCCTGCCCAGAACGTCCCTTCCAGCCACATGTCTCTTTCATTCATTCATGACTTATTCCCTCTGCACAGAGCAGGAACAAAACCTCAGCAGAGTGCTTTCGATGAGTGCAGGAACATAGGGCAGCAGCCAGGCCCTTGACCTCCCACACACACTCTAGAAGGGAGAGGGGTTTTAAACCATCTTGTGCACATCCAGATCCATGGACGTGTGGAAAGTCCCAGCAGGCACAGCACGTGGCATGCTAGGTCCCGTGTCCTTAAAAGCCCTGGTAGGTGGCTGTGGAGAAGAGGGCGCCCACAAAGGCACAGGAAGTGAGGTTCCAGGAGCACAGGTGCTGCTCTCCCCCTCTACTCTCCAGGTGGCCTAGGTATAGGGCAGGTATGGGGTGTCCAGAGCGAGCTGCTACTTGCCCAAAGGGGTGAGGAGGCATTCCCCTTAGG